GGGGGGGTCAACCAGGGCTCATCTGAAGGCTTGACTGAGGCTGGAAGAATCTCTTTCTTCCAGCTGGTGACTCCTTTACATGGCTGTAGGCAAGAAGCCTCAGTTCTTTGCCTCATGGTTTGGCGTGGACAACATGGCTCATCTCTAACAGAGTAACAAAAAGAATAGGTTGGGTGTGGTAGCTTACTCCTTACTCCCAGCACTTTGGGAGGCTGAGGTGGGAGGATTGCTTGAGCCCAGGAGTTTGATTCTGCTATGATCACACCACTGCACTCCAGCCTAGTGACAAAGCAAGACTTACGTCTAAAAAGAAAAAAGAGGACAGCTAAGACAGAAGTCATAATGTCTTTTATAATCTAATGTCTCAACTGACACCCATTTGTCACCATATTCTCTTTTTTTTTTTTTTGAGACAGAGCCTCAAGCTATCACCCCTGGGTAGAGTACCATGGCATCACAGCTCACAGCAACCTTCAACTCCTGGGCTCAAGCGAGACTCCTGCCTCAGCCTCCCAAGTAGCTGGGACCACAGGTGCCCGCCACCACACCTGGCTATTTTTTGGTTGCAGCCGTCATTGTTGTTTTTGGTGGGCCCAGGATGGATTTGAACCCGCCACCTTAGGTATATGTGGCTGGCGCCTTAGCCACTTGAGCCATAGGCCCCGAGCCTGTCACCATATTCTTTTATCACTTAGAACTCCCTGGTATGGTGTTGGAAGGACTACCCAGGACTGTAAATACCAGGATGTGAGCCCTTGGGAACCATCTAGGAGGCTGATTACCTCCCTCATGGGCACATATGGACCACTTCTTACTAGTTTGTAGCCATCAGTCTCAGAACTCTCCATGTGTTAATGCAACTCTATTCCTTGACACAAGCCCATAAGCAGGTTCTGTTTATTATCCTCATATAGTACAGCCTGTGGTTAGGCACATGGTCTCTGCAGCCAGACTGCAGTCACTTTAATCTGAACTTAGTCACTTACTGACTGTATGATTTGGGGTAGGTGATTTCACCTCTCTATGGCTCACTTTCTTCATCTGTAAATGGAGAAAATAGTAATGTTTCTTGGGTAACACCAAGTCAGTATCGGCTGTTGTCATTTTGCAGGGGAGGAAACAGAAATTGGGGAGGTGATGTGTGTCACCCCACTAGGTGTTGATATTTGGAGGAAAGCAGGCAGGGGTGTCTGGGTTAAAGGCGTGCTGCTTTTTGTGGAGGTAACCACGTGTCTCTCTCCTGTTTCCTGTAGACCTGTTCTGGCAGCACCCACAGAACCTGGTGCTATGAATGGGTAGGGGACGCCAGACATTCAGAAGTTGGGTGGTGCAGAACATGCCTCCGCCACCCCGAAATTCTGCTGCTGCCCAAGGCCAAGCTCACCAGTGCTCATGACCCACACTGGCCCATCACTTCCTGGTGTGTTCGACATTCTGGGTGCCGCAGGCCAGGACAAGCTCTTGTATTTGAAGCACAAACTAAAGACCCTGCGCTCGGGCGGCCAGGGGGCTGACCTCCTGCATGCCATGGTGCTCCTGAAGTTAGGCAAGGACACGGAGGCCAGGATCTCTCTGGAGGCACTGAAGGCAGATGCAGTGGCTCGGCTGGTGGCCCGGCAGTGGGCTGGCATGGACAGCACTGAGGCCCCTGAAGAGCCTCCAGATGTGTCCTGGGTCGTTGCCCGCCTATACCACCTACTGGTGGAGGAGAAGCTGTGCCCAGCCTCCTTGCGGGATGCGGCCTACCAGGCAGCCCTCCATGCCCTCAGCTCCAGGGATGACCATCAGCTGGGGGACCTCCAGGATGAAGCCCAGGAACGGTGTGGATGGGATGTTATCCAGGACCCTGGGGGCTTCCGGACTCTCCACTCTGATCTGGGCTGCCTCCCACCATCTTCAACTCCGCCCTCTGGGACCCGCAGCCTTCCCTGTCCCATAGATAACCCACTGGGCTGGAGCCAAGGGCGCTCCCTGCGATCTACTGACAGCCCAGCCTCCCTGGTCAGCAACTTAGAAATCAGCCAGTCACCCACCATGCCCCTCCTCAGCCCACACCGCAGCCCCCATGGGCCCAGCAAGCTCTGTGATAGCCCCCAAGCTCGCACGGTGCCCAGGCCTGTCCCTAGCAGCTGCCAGGAGCCCGAGGAGATGACCTGGCCCACCTCAGGGGAGATTGCCGGCTCCCCAGAGCTTCCTGAGGTGGCCCTAGATCCGGTCCCTGCTGGCCTCCCTGACACTCCCCAAACTCCAGGAACCAGCACCCATTACCCAGTACAGTGCACAGAGGTGTCGGCAGCCTCTGGGTCTCTCTCCTCACCCATTCTGGAGCCTGTTGGACACCCCCGCCCTGACAAATACCAGGCACCACATCAACTTTCTAAAGAAGATACCACGACCCCAGATACCAAGTCATGCCCACCTACTCCCTCAATCCCCAAAATGTCTCCTCCCAAAACGTCCCCTCCTCTTCCTCCATCAGCCCCTTGTTCCGCTCACCTGGACAACTCATCCCCATGCCCTTCCTCTTCTGAGGTGACACCAGAGCAGAAATTCTATAACTTCGTGATCCTCCATGCCAAGGCAGATGAACACATTGCCCTGCGGGTCCGGGAGAAGCTGGAGGCCCTTGGTGTGTCTGATGGGGCCACCTTCTGTGAGGATTTCCAGGTGCCCGGGCGCGGTGAGCTACACTGCCTGCAGGATGCCATAGACCACTCAGCCTTCGTTATCCTGCTGCTCACTTCCAGCTTTGACTGCCGCCTAAGCCTGCACCAGGTGAGCCACGCCCTGATGAGCAGCTTTATGCGACTTGGGTGGCAGGACTGTGTGGTGCCCTTCCTGCCGCTGGAGAGCTCCCCCACCCAGCTCCGCTCTGATGCTGCCAGCCTGCTCACCAGCCTGGTGTGGCTGGATGAACACTCCCCGATCTTTGCCAGGAAAGTGGCCAATACCTTCAAGTCCCAGAAGCTTCTGGCTCGCAAGGCCAACTGGAGGAAGGAACAGGATGCCCGGGCCCTGCGGGAGCAGAGCCAACACCTGGAGGGTGAGCGGATGCAGGCTGCCGCCCTGAACAATGCATACACCACCTACCTCCAGAACTACTTGGCCTGGCAGGCACAGATGGAGCAGCTCCAGGCGGCTTTTGGGAGCCACATGTCATTTGGGACTAGGATGCCCTTTGGTGGGGGCCCAGTGCCCCAGGGAGCCCCACCACCCTTCCCTCAGCCACCACCACTACAGCATCCATGGCAGGCTGGCATCCCACCACCAGCCTTCCTGCAGCCACCGGCCTTCCCACAGCCACCAGCCTTCCCCATGGCCTCCCCTACATCTCCTCCAAGCCCAAGACTGCAGCCCCTCATCATCCACCATGCTCAGATGGTGCAGCTGGGGCTCAACAACCACATGTGGAACCAGCGAGGGGCCCAAGCGCCTGAGGACAAAACACAGGAGGCAGAATGACCACACGTCCAAGCTTAGGGAACACACCTGGGCTGGTGCGTGCTTTGAGTAGGGTCAGTGGGACCACAACTATCCCCCCATCTGCTCCCCTGGGGACAGTGTAAGGTTGGGTCACCTGGTGCATTTAGGACAGTGCCTGGAGCCCTTCACTTCTCAGGAAGTATAGCAAATCAGGCTGCAAGGACTTCCTGGCCTCCAGGGTGGCCAAAACAGGACACTGTTTACATTTTCAGTTTCTCTGTCTCTGGGTAGGGGGTCTTGGTGGTGGGGGATATTGGTAGGGTCTTTTAACTATAATAAATATTTATTTAATGGTCCAGGAGCACCTCTGTCCTTAGGAAACCTCTGTCTGGCTATTTGCTAAGAAACACATGGCTTATTGTTACTCCAAAAGGGGAACCAGAATGAAGAGCAGCCTTCTCTTGCTGAGTGAACCGATCTTACTGGACAGAAGGTGGTCACATGACTGCAAGGGAAGCTGGGAAATGTAGTTGTGTGAGTGGCCACATGTCTGGCCGAAATGTCCTAGCACAAATACCAGAAAAGGTAGGCAGAAAAGATACTGGGGGGCATTTAGCAGTTTTTGCTACTGCCTTTCTCCTTCCATTTCCTTTGGGGATCTGCCTTGATACCACCACCAAGGCTGGCCTCAGATCCCACTATGTGATCTTGGGCAAGTGCCTTCACCCCTCTGAGCTTCTTCTGTTCATGGTGATTGTGGAGATTGTTTGAAGACTAACATACTAAGTGCAATAATATGTAAACTCCAGGCACATTGTATATCAGGTGCAGTGCACATTAAGTATATGCGTGGGACCTACATGGAGGGAGAGGGAGAATAAGAATAGAGTTAACTCACCTGACCTAAAGTGAGACCCCCATCTCTAAAAATAGCCGGGCGTTGTGGCAGGCACCTGTAGTCCCAGCTACTAGGGAGGCTGAGGCAAGAGAAATCACTTGAGCCCAAAAGTTTGAGGTTGCTGTGAGCTATGATACTACAGCACTCTACTGAGGGTGACAAAACTCTGTCTAAAAAAAAAAGCATAGGGTGGTGCCTGTGGCTCAGTGAGTAGGACACTGGCCCCATATGCTGAGGGTGGTGGGTTTGAATCCATCTCTGGCCAAACTGCAACAACAACAACAACAAAGTAGCTGGGCGTTGTGGCAGGCACTTGTAGTCTCAGCTACTTGGGAGACTGAGGCAAGAGAATCGCCTAAGCCCAAGAGCTGGAGGTTGCTGTGAACTGTAATGCCATGGCACTCTATCAAGGGCAACAAAGTGAGACTCTGTCTCTAAATAAATAAATAAGTAAAAAATTAATAGAGTTAACATTTGTTGAACACTTAACATTTATCAATTCCTAAGGCTTTATAAGCACGTAAACACATTTTAATACTCAAATGACCCCTAATAGTAGAAGCTTCTATTACAGACCCATTTTAGAGATGGAGAAAACTGAGGCCCAAGGGGGAATTTTGGCCCCTACAGTCACACAGATCAAAAGTAAATCACAATTGAAAAAGCTAAATTTCCAAAGAAGGGAATGAAGGAGGCAAAATTGTACCCACTGAGGCTGGACACTGTAGGCCCCTTCTCACCTGACAGCTGGTTTGAAAATTGACCTTTCTGGTTTCTTCCTGCATTGCTGGGCCGCACTAAAAAGCAGCCTGGTGTGAGTCACCCCAGCAGTCATGCACCACTTGCTATTTTAGTCGCTGACTCAGACTTTGTCAGAACTCTGGTCCTGGTGGCAGCTGTGGCAGCCATTAAGTGAAACAGGAGGGAAGAGTCTGAGATTAGATTCCAGGGTGGGATGGGGCTGTCCAAACAGAGGGTTTCTGACCATTGATTAAGCTGGGCAGAGTCACCTGCTACTAGTTAGATGGTGAACTGGCCATTTGTTCATTTGACCAACACTTACTGAGTACCTACTATGTACTAAGGTTTGTTCTAAGAACCAAGAAGCAGTAGAGCTGAAGACAGAAGTGAGCAGTCGCTTGCTGTCATTTCCATGGGGGAAATGGGGGAGGAAATAGTAAGAAAGTCATCAAAGAAGGAAGCAAGAGAACTGAAAGTGAAGAGAGTTCAGATGGAAAAAACTGGATAAAGTGATGGGGAGTGTCCCAGAAGGGAAAACTTCAGCCAGGGGCTCAGGGCTGAGACCTGGAGGAAGAGAAAGAGTTAGTCATAGGAAGAGCTTGGGGTGGGAGGAGGAATGATCCAGGCAGAGCGGATAGCCTGTGCAAAGGCCCTGGGATGGGACCATGCCTGCCATTTGGGAGGCATAGTGAGGGGGCTGGTGCAGGGTGAGAGGTGGAGAGAAGAAGAAGGGGAGGAAAGGGAGGAGTCAAGGTAAGTTGAGTAGGGCCTGGTGGGATTCAGAGAGGCGGATGGGAACCATGGAGGGCTGTGGGCAGAAGGCTGTGCCCTGACTCAGGTGTTCATAGGCACCCTCTGGTGGTTGCCACAGGGAGGACAAACTTTGGGAGTGTGAGGGCAGAGGGTGGGGCACTGGGGCAGAGCTAATTGTACTAGTCTAGGGTGAGCAATCCTGGCTGGGGTCAGAGCAGGTGAAGTAGGGGAAGAGAAATGGGCACATTCAGAATTTGCCTAGTTCAGAGACCCTTATCCTTGTCCTTGAAGTGGGTAAGAATTCTGCCTGGCAAACGCCTGCACTAGGTCAGCCATGCCAGCCTTGGTAGAAGAGCTGGATTCCAGCCATTACTTCCTGAAGTCAGAGCTCTGGGCTTCATCTTCCTCATCTGTAAATGGATCCAATGACCTCAAGTCTGAAACTTCTGTTCCTAACTTTCCCCATGCCCTCCCCCCCAAGATCTGCAAAGGACAATTATTTTGAGAGCCCCCAGAACATAAGGGCCTACTCACTGGGAGTATCCAGGCGGTGGCCTGGAAGACTACCATTGTGCTCTATTTACAGATGAAGAAACTGAGGTCCAGAGAGATGAAGTCACTTATCTAAGGTCACACAGCTGAAATAAGTAGGCTTCAGGTGCAGAAGGAGCTGGGCAATCTCTACTGGATTCTAGCCCATATGAAGGCTGTGTAGCCCATTAGCAATTCATTTTCCCAATTTAAAAATTCTTTGATATATTCTTGTTTATTTTGTTATTTATTAATTTGTGGTTTCTCCATCACAAGCTGCCTGCCTTGAGAGGCAGGGGATGGAACTGTCTTAGTTCCTAAACTGTTTTCAGAACCCAGCCCATGCTGGGCACAGCACACAGTACATGCTCAGTAGGGGAAATGTTTTGATGAGCACTTGCTGTGCGTAGGCCTCTTTTGGATGCCAGGGATACAGAGCTGTTCCCTGCCCTGGTGTTCATGAGACAGAGAGTGGGAGGATGTTGATGCATCATCCATTTATCCAGATTTACTGAGATCCTGCTGTGTGCAGGCTCTGTGCTGCCACCACTAAGTGGTGGTCACTTAGTGACCACCATCTCCCAGAGTTAGGGGCTCAGCCATGACTTTTGCTGCCGCCATGCTCCCTGGTAGCCATCATCATCCAGCCCCATGTGGCAGGGTTTCCAGGAAGTACCAGGTTCCCTCTGAGCCAAATAGCCTTAAAGAAAAATAGGAAAGGAAAAAAAAAAAACCTGAAAAATTCCCTCTTCTTTAAAAACTGTGAAATGTGGGGCAGTGCCTGTGGCTCAAAGGAGTAGGGCACCGGCCCCATATGCTGGAGGTGGCAAGTTCAAACCCAGCCCTGGCCAAAAACAAAAAAACAAACAAAAAAAATCCTGTAAAATGTGAATACATAACAGATGATTGCATTTCAGGGGTCAAAATGTCCACAGCCAGACTAGGCTGGGCTACCGTGTCGCTCTCTGCTTGGAATGATCTGTTTCTGAGACCATTGGATATTTTACAAATGTTCTCCTGCTCTTTGAGCCCAGAGAGGATAAAGTTTTGCCCAGGGTCATACAGCACATGAGTGGCTAAAGCTTGACCTGGGCAGAAGTGGGTCGGGCAGAAGTGGGTCATGCAGAATCTTCTACCTCTCCAGCATAATCTGGTTGTCCTATTGCTGAAGAGACATAAAGGAGGTGACAGCACCCACTCCTTAGCATAGTACTGCACACAGAGGTACAGTTGACAGATGTATATGGCCCAGGTATGGCTGCTTATGTCTGTAATCCTAGCACTTTAGAGGGATAAGGAAGGTGGATCTTTTGAGCTCAGGAGTCTGAGACCAGCCTGAACAAAAGCGAGATATCATCTCTACTACAAATAGAAAAACTAGCCGGACATTGTGGCAGGTTGCCTGTAGTCTCTCAGCTACTGGGGAGACAGAGTTTGCTGTTGCTGTGAACTATGATGCCACGGCACTCTACCCAAGGTGAGAGTGCAACTCTGTCTCAACAAACAAACAAAAAGAAGAGTGAGACCTTGTCTCAACAAAAAATAGATTAGCAGGGCATTGTTGTAGGTGCCTGTAGTCTCAGCTACTTGGGAGGTTGAGGCAGGAGGATCACTTGAACTCAAGAGTTGGAGTCTACAGTGAGCTATAATGACACCACTGCACTCCAGCCTGGATGATAGAGACTCTGTCTCAGAAAAAAGAGAAGGGGTTAAAATTATTTTCTGAATAGAGAACACATTCATATAGTTCAAAATTCAAAAGGCAGCAGAGAACAATGGGATAAAGTTGCCTCTTCCCTCCTGTTCCCAAACACCCAGTTCTTCCCAATGTGACAACCATTTCTCACCCCACAGCCTGTCCTCCCAGAAGCAGCCACCAGAGGGCGAATGTGAGGACCTGAAATAGGGCCCATTCCTCCTCTGCTCAAAGCCCTCCATGGTCCGACGTTCCTCAAGGTCAAAGCCCAAGCCCTCCCCACCCCTAAACCCAGCCTTGCATGACCTGCCTGGTCCCTTCTGCACCCTCTCTTCTTCCCTCTCTCCCCCTCCTCACTCTGCTTCAGCCACATGGGCCTCCTCACTGCATATCAAACATGCCAGGCATGGTCCTGCCTCAGGGCCTTTGCATGGGCTGTGCCCTCCACTGAGTTGCAAACATTCAGAACATTTGCTGCTACCCAAGAATTGTTCTACAAGCTTTACACACAAACCTTACAACATCCTTAAGAGGTGGATTTTATTCTCATTTTATAGGTGGGGAAACCAAAGCTCAGAGAGATCAAGTAACCTGGCCAAAGTCACACAGCTTGTAAGGAGCAGTCTGGAATTATATAAATATAGTATCAACATTTTTTTTTTGAGACTAAGCCTCAAGCTATCCCCCTGGGTAGAGTGCCGTGGCATCACAGCTCACAGCAACCTCCAACTCCTGGGCTCAAGCGAGTCTCCTGCCTCTGCCTCCCAAGTAGCTGGGACCACAAGCACCCACCACAACGCCCGGCTACTTTTTTTTTTTTTTTTGGTTGTAGCCGTCATTGTTGTTGTTTTGGCGGGCTCGGG